ACGGATTTTCATGTCCACGAGATTACTTGTCTTTCATCCTCTTGAGGTATCACTTCAAAGGAAATGGCATACCGTTCATTATAATCGCCATCACACTGCAGATAATGCATTTTAAATAAAAAGTCAGGCGTTCCTGTTCCTTTGGGAACAAGGATAAATTCCTACTATAACCTCCAAGAAAGTAGTGTGGCACAAATCATCTCGTCTGTCAATGCAAAGAACACACTTAGATATTAACTCTTTCCTTTGCTCTGTCCTTAAAGCCTTTCATTAGTTAAATTTGGGAGCTTAGCTTCGCAGATCAGCAGTCAGTTGAATAATTCAAACTTTGAGAATTGAAAAGAAAATTGAAAATACTGTCACACAGAGTTATGCCCTTCTTTCAACAGGTGATAAGTCTGCCTTTCCTCACGCACGCGATAAGTACATTTTGTTTAGGCAGTCATTGAATTTACTCAACAAATGAATCGGAAGGCTTCAGTTAGCAGTTATGGTATTTTTTGGGATTTAAAGAGCTTAATCTTGAATTTTTTTATTGGATGTAAAGTTTTTCAGCGTCAAGATCTTCAGTGGGTTTATTCCCCATAAACATTTTATTAAACAAAATGCAGAGTTTTGGTTTGAGCTGGGTCATTGTTGTTACTCCTGATAACATACCCTGAAGGCTGGATCCAGCTTGATCCGAAACGTTAGGATTTTTTAAATAAAATGTACACGGGGAGTAAATTGCATGAAGATTTTGACAATAATGTCTTGAAATGTTACAAGCAAGTGAGCAACGAATCAACAACATTTGCTATTTTGTCTTCTTCTTTAGCAAAAGACGGTTTTAGGCGTGATGAACTTCTTTTAAACTTTAATTTGAGTTTTCCGCTTCCGCAGGACAAACCATCATCATAAGGATGATAGAAATAATTTCATCCCTTCCTTATCGAAAGTTTAAAAACCATCACGACTGAAGTCATTTTTCGTTAAAGAAGTGGCAAGGACTGATTGTTGACCGGTATTGAAATGAGCTTTAGTTACATGTTATATTTGCATAATTAAAGTACAAGACCATGCTTGGCAACTCTTTAATTTCAACTATGAATACGGACCGTACTGGTCTGAAACACCATTTGTGCGAGCACAACATATATAAATATAGCTGTAACGTATATGCGTATTCAGACATTCGTGACATCCAAAAAATACATTACTAAATGCATCCTAAATTTATGTAGTATATTTAGTTAGCAGTGTTGACAAAAAAATAAAAGCCTGCTTACCATTCCTTCACTTGAACTTCCGCGATTCCCTCACCTACGTCGGCAAGCTTGAAGGGAATGACCTTTCCAAGGCAAACTGGAAAGCAGATAATAAACGAATAAACTGGTAATAATGATTTAGATGTGTGCAAACAAATCCAGCCATTTTACTCAAAATGACAATCATGACAAGTGTCGATAGATCATGATGATAATTAAAACCTGGATTAATCTGACTAAGATACGGGACTGCATATGACGTCAGAGTTATGTACCGTCTGCCAAGAAACCAAAAATGTACGTTAATATGTCACTAGAGACCGACAGGTGAAACATTTCCTAATAAAGTTCAAGCATATGTTTTAATGAAACAAACATTCAGACTGCAGTTTTACTCACAAAATACTCAATGGGGGGGGGGAGACATAACTGATACTTATCTCGCAAAAAAACAAGGATGCGCAATTCAGTCTACCCTTTGAACAAAAGCCAAAGTTAACAAGATGCAAAGTGTGATTTGCTTATCACCCGTTGG